CAGCGCTAATCCCATTTATTCAAAATAAGCGCACAATTATACACTGAGATTAACTTACATATTCATGCATGAAGCACAATGGGCACATTACCCTTCGGTATGTTAATAGACATGCGGATTGTGACTTCATAAATTAACAATCGAATGCAAATATCATGAATGACAAAGGATTGGATCCTAGGGGGGGAGTTATAAGGCGGCTCAGAAGCAGAGCTCAATGCCATTTCGAGAGGGAACTTGATGAGGTTGGACGCTCGACTCGTCGCTCTGCTGATCGTCCTTCAACCGCGAGACAACGCAGCCTGGCGAGCACAATTGCTGTGTCGACAGTTAGGCGACTTTGCGTCGGGAAAGTTCGTGGCGACATCTTCAGACGGGTTCCAGACATCGATACACCGTGAATCTCCAAGTAAGTGTCTATTTTCGCGGATAAAATCTTAAACGTGTTCGTCGTCAAATTTACGGGATTTTTTGCGTCTCGCTTAGACGCGAGTGTCGTTCTTGTTTTAGCAGTTAACAAAATCCAAAACTCCTTTCGGCCGATAGCGTACTTTTGACTCAATAACACCGCTGCTGTTACTACGCTCACATGGAGCAGAGACGCTCTCCACAGCCCCACGCACACGGAGGCAAGAAGCAATTCAATTGCTCTGTGTGTGAGAAGTCATTTTCATGGCCATCACATCTTCAGAGACACCAGAGAACACACACGGGCGAGAAGCCGTTCCTGTGCCCTGTGTGTGGGAAGACATTTGCACGGTCATCACATCTTCAGATTCATCAGAGAGCACACACGGGCGAGAAGCCATTCCTGTGCTCTGTGTGTGGGAAGGCATTTGCACAGTCATCACATCTTCAGATTCATCAGAGAGCACACACGGGCGAGAAGCCATTCCTGTGCCCTGTGTGTGGGAAGGCATTTTCACAGTCATCATCCATGAACAGGCATCAGAAGGTCCACAATGATAGGAAGCTGAAATCAAAAGGTGGAATTCAAGGTGCTGCAATGATTCCTGAAGATAATTCCGCCTTCGATCCCATGCAGTTGGATCCCGAGAGATGGCTGGATGTAATGGAGTGGCTCGAGGATCAACCAGAGAGCTCGGGGTGACTGAAAAAATATTACGTCAGGTGGTTATACCTATTAAGCCGTATCGAGTACTTTTGTGTGTAATTTTGACCATTTTAGTTTTACAGTTTTTGTGAGAGTTTAATGACGTGCACAGTGGTGGTTTGTAATGTTATTGGATTACTTGCCGAAGTGGTGTGATGAGCACTGGTTGTGAGAGGGTTCAATTGTAGTCGTTAAGTGTTCCTGTTGAGCTAAAGTTGGAATGCGTCTGTAGGTACATCTTTACTCAACATTTTAAACAGTTTTTTTCAAGTATATAGCTTTTTTGATTGGTATTAATCAACTTTAGATAGCCGATTCCAGGATGTACATTGATGACGCGATCGTTGGATATATGGCCTTGACTTCAACATAGACGCACAGTGAACAAATGTGGTGAACTAATAAGGAAATCATGGGGAATGATACTTTAACGCTTTGGTATTCCTGGAACGGAAATGGTTTGCATTGTACTGGAAATGTGTGAACATAGGACATAATAAATATTCCCTTCGAGTTTTGACGTAAAAATGATTGCAGATGAATAAAAACGTATTTTTAACAAATGTTTGTCCGGTCTTTATTTTATAATGTTCCTAGCAAAAACATGTTAAGATAATTTCAGGTGGAGGATCTCCGTCACACAAGTGTGCTCTTAACCGGCAGCATCTTGGCTGTCTACCCGATTAACACGTGTTCCTTGAGGGGAAAGCCTCGTAGTTAATCGTTCATCAACGTAACAGTCCCTAATCCAGAAGTATGTCGGGGATAAACTGTAAACAATTACAACATGGTCATATTACAATCACTATTTTCACTGCTAAATGTCATCGAATAACAAAAGACGGAATATATTTATATAAAAACACGCACAAACCCATTATAAACTCATGAGATTATGAATCGTTACAATCATTGTTATAACAATCACAAATTGTGACAAAGAGAAATTCCCACAAGCAAAACACCACGCTCACGTGACGAATTCTTAAACAAACTGCAACACTCAAGTGACAGAACTCAACAAAAAAACGCCGCAATAAAAACAACATCAATAGACAAATCGTAAAAACAGACAACACAATTATTTTGTTAAGGCGCTCTTCCCCCCTTCCAACCCAGCTTTAATATACGCTCCAAGCCTGGTGGTGTTTCATTCAGACGCTGTCTCTCCGACAGACCTGGTTTTCACCTGAGTACGGCTGCTTGCATTGTGGCCGAAACGTCGTTAAAATTATTTTATTATGTTTTATTTTTATTATTTGATTACCTCCCTTCTACGTGACTTTACCGAAAGAACCAAGAAGATGTATGTAATATGGACGTGCGAACCAAGGGTTGGATATGTGAAACGGAACGTGCAGGATCAGGATGGGATTAAAATTATTTGAATAACACTTTGGTGGTATTGGTATCAAGCTTTTCACTGCTGGATGAATGTTCCATCTAAATGGCATCAAATAGCAATATTCAGTATGTATATATAAAATTATCGCACAAACCCAATATAAGCCCGTGCAATAATGAATCGTTACAATTGTAATGACTCGTTTGATAAAAGTATTTGATCAAAGTTTGTTATCCCATCACGGACCACCAAAGCGTGATCCTGCACCTTCCGTTTCACATATCCCACCTTTGGTTCGCACGTCCATATTACATACATACATGTTACATAATACATATTACATATATATATTCATGCATATTGCATACAGACACGTTACATACTCACGAGCATAGTGTGATTCTTAGAGGACCACGGTGTGAAGTTAAGAATTCGAATGAGATTCTAATATCACACTTCAATGTACGGTGTTCTAATCTGTAACACTAGTTTATGATGTAATTTTATAGAGTTATAATGTATCGCACATAGCTTATATTGTTAGAGTTCACAACATTATAGTTTACTATAACACTAGTTTGTAGTGTTATTTTAGAACGTCGCAATGTATAGCTCATAGTTTAAAGGTTATATTGTTAGAGTTTATAATGTTAGAGTATGCTCTGTGAGTTTACAATTTGAGAGTTTGTGGACGTGCCCTGTTCTCGTGGGACCCGACACGGATTTGGAAATAATTGCTATGATCATGTCTGAGCTGGGATGAGCGACTAATGTTTACTTTGCTTAATCATAACTGTGTGTAGGTTAGTGCCATCGGTGCTTAGTGAATACTACTCATGAATGAACTCATACTTCTTTCGGATAGAAATTTAAATCATGTTGGTAGAACAAGTCGCCTGTCTTTTCTAGACTAATTGTTATCTTCAAGTGCGTCAGTAAATATACTGCTAAAATACACAGCATAGGGGAGGCAGCCTTGTTGGGGAGATGTAGTTTGGCTAAGGCGCTGTGGCCGGGTGATGACACGGATTCAGAAACAATGGAGTTAAACACTCGCTGCTTGGCCCCGTCGACAGCAGCGAAGGCTGTCATATACCGCCCCATTTACGAGTTGGCTGTATGATGTGTATAGTTGAAGGTGCTAGGTGTTGTCTTCTTCTAACAGCTACTAACGTGCGTGTGTTGTCTGTTTTTAGGATTTGTCCATTGATGTTTTTTTTTTATTGCGGCGTTTTTTTGTTAAGTTCTGTCACTTGAGTGTAGCAGTTTGTTTAAGAATTCGTCACGTGAGCGTGGTGTTTTACTTGTGGGAATTTCGCTTTGTCACAATTTGTGATTGTTATAATAATTGTAAAGATTCATAATCTCATGAGTTTATAATGGGTTTGTGCGTGATTCTTATACGACCACACTGTGATTCTAATGCTTCTAATGATATTATAATACCTTACCTCCGTTTAAATGGTTATAAATTAAAACACTAGTTTATAATCGTTTAATGTTCAGTGTTATCGTTGATAGTATTACAGTTTACATGTCATAGAGTACAGTTTTTCCCCGACATACTTCGGAATTAGAGACTGGTACGTTGATGAACGATTAACTACGGGGACCTTTCCCCTCAATGAACACGTGTTAATCGTGTAGACAGCTAAGATGCTGCGGGTTAAGGGCACACTTGTGTGATGGAGATCCTCCATCTGAAATTCTCTGAACATGTTTTTGCTAGGAACATTATACAATAAAGAACTGACAAACATTTGTTAAAATACGTTTTTATTCATCTGCAACAATTTTACGTCAAAACTCGAAGGCAATGTTTATTACGTCCTATGTTCAAACAGTTACAGTACAATGCAAACCATATCCGTTCCAGGAATACCAAAGCGTTAAAGTATCATTCCCCATGATTTCCTTATTAGTTCGCAACGTTTGTTCACTGTTCGTCTGTGTTCAAGTCAAGGCCATATATCCAACGAACGCGTCATCAATGTACATCCTAAAGTCGACTATTATCAACCAAAAAAAGCTTAATACTTGAAAAAAACGTTTAAAATGTTGAGTAAAGATCTAACTACAGATGCATTCCAACTTTAGCTCAACAGGAAGACTTAAACACTACAATATTGTCCGGAATTGAACCATCTCACAACCACTGCTCATCACACCACTTCACCAAGTAATCACTACCTGCACGTCAAGAAACTCTCAAACGAACTGTAAAACTAAAGAGTCAGAATTACACACAAAAGTACTCAAGACAGCTTAATAGGTATAACCGCATGCAACATTATATTTCAGTCACCGCTAGCTCTCGGGTTGATCCTCGAGCCACTCCATTACATCCAGCCATCTCTCGGGATCCAACTGCATGGGATCGAAGGTGGAATTATCTTCAGGAATCATTGCAGCACCCTGAATTTCAGCTTTTGATTTCAGTTTCCTATCATTGTGGACCTTCTGATGCGTGTTAAGATTTGACGACTGTGAAAATGCCTTCCCACACACAGAGCACAGGAATGGCTTATCGCCCGTGTGTGTTTTCTGGTGACTCTGAAGATGTGATGACTGTGCAAATGTCTTCCCACACACAGAGCACAGGAATGGGTTCTCGCCCGTGTGTGTTCTCTGGTGACGCTGAAGATGTGATGACCATGAAAATGTCTTCCCACACACAGGGCACAGGAATGGCTTCTCGCCCGTGTGTGTTTTTTGGTGACTCTGAAGATGTGATGACTTTGCAAATGTCTTCCCACACACAGGGCACAGGAATGGCTTCTCTCCCGTGTGTGTTCTCTGATGACTCTGAAGATGTGATGACTGTGCAAATGCCTTCCCACACACAGGGCACAGGAATGGCTTCTCTCCCGTGTGTGTTCTCTGATGGTCTTGAAGAGTTGACGAGTGTGCAAATGCCTTCCCACACACAGGGCACAGGAATGGCTTCTCACCCGTGTGTGTTCTCTGATGAGTTTGAAGAGTTGATGCCCGTGCAAATGCCTCCCCACACACAGAGCACAGGAATGGCTTCTCACCCGTGTGCGTTCTCTGGTGAACTGTGGGGGGTCGAGGGTAAGAATGGCATTCAAATTTTAGAATGACAATTTGGTCGTTTTAGCAAATTACTGTACTTGAATGTATGTTATGTGCAAATGCAAATTGTTAGTCGTAAATGCGAGGGAGGGGTTAAGAGGTGCACGTTTAATCCAGTGTTAACATTTATTTTAGCATCATATTTAAGGACACTGTTGTTGATAAGAATTCGTCTGGACATGGCACGTGCCTTGTTCTACTCGATCAACCAAAATTAGTACAATTTCGGTCATGCAGAAGCGTGATTTCATTCATGAGTAGTATTCACACAGCCCCGATGACACCAACCTACCTAAAGTTATGGTTAAACAAAGTAATCTTGAGTGACTTTAATCTCAGCTCAGACATGATCATCGCAATCATTTCCAAAGACGTGTGGGGTCCTGCGAGAGCAGGTCCCCACTCGGAATCGGAAGTAGCTGCGTCGCCCTCGAAATGTGATGTTGCTGCTGTTGTTGTCGCTACTCTTGTTGCTGCTGTAGTTGCTTCTGTTGCTGTAATAAACGCAGGGAGGTGTTGTTCCGTGATGGGATGACGCCTTTGATTAAAGCCTCTGATCAAACTCACCCGATTGACGCCCTTGGTCGTTGCGTTTGATCAACTCTGATATTGTATACTCTCACATGCTAAGCTCTAACATAGTGAAACGAAATATTATAACCTATGAACTACAACCTATCCATTGTAACGCTGTAAAAGAATATTACCTATTGGATTTCACTCCATCGTCGAGAAGGCCGCTCTCTTCCTTTTCTAAAGTTACATGCTAATTTCTCTGCATTCACTTTAAATCGAGGACAAAGTTTTTCCATTCATTCAAAATAAGCGCACAATTACACACTGAGATGCACTTACATATTCATGCATGAAGCACAATTGGCACATTACCCTTCGGTATGTTAAAAGACATGCGGATTGTGCCTCCAAAAATTAACAATCGAATGCAAATATCCTGAAAGACAAAGGATTGGATCCTAGGGGGGGAGTTATAAGGCGGCTCAGAAGCAGAGCTCAATGCCATTTCGAGAGGGAACTTGATGAGGTTGGATGCTCGACTCGTCGCTCTGCTGATCGCCCTTCAATCGCGAGACAACGCAGCCTGGCGAGCACAATTGCTGTGTCGACACTTAGGCGACTTTGCGTCGGGAGAGTTCGTGGCGACATCTTCAGACGGGTTCCAGACGTCGATCTACCGTGAATCTCCAAGTAAGTGTCTATTTTCGCGGATAAACTGTTAAACGTGTTCGTCGTCAAATTAGCGGTATTTTTTTGCGTCTCGGTTAGACGTGAGTGTCGTTCTTGTTTTAGCAGTTAACAAAATCCAAAACTCCTTTCGGCCGATAGCGTACTTTTGGCTCAATAACACCGCTGCTGTTACTACGCTCACATGGAGCAGAGACGCTCTCCACAGCCCCACGCACACGGAGGCAAGAAGCCATTCAATTGCTCTGTGTGTGAGAAGTCCTTTTCACGGCCATCACATCTTAAGAGACACCAGAGAACACACACGGGCGAGAAGCCGTTCCTGTGCTCTGTGTGCGGGAAGACATTTGCACACTCATCACATCTTCAGAGTCACCAGAGAACACACACGGGCGAGAAGCCGTTCCTGTGCTCTGTGTGCGGGAAGACATTTGCACACTCATCACATCTTCAGAGTCATCGGAGAACACACACTGGTGAGAAGCCATTCCGGTGCCATGTGTGTGGGACGACATTTGCACAATCGTCAACTCTTCAAGACCATCAGAAAACACACACAGGCGAGAAGCCATTCCTGTGCCCTGTGTGTGGGAAGGCATTTGCACAGTCATCAACTCTTCAAACTCATCAAAGAACACACACGGGCGAGAAGCCATTCCTGTGCCCTGTGTGTGAGAAGTCCTTTTCACGGCCATCACATCTTAAGAGACACCAGAGAACACACACGGGCGAGAAGCCGTTCCTGTGCTCTGTGTGCGGGAAGACATTTGCACACTCATCACATCTTCAGAGTCACCAGAGAACACACACGGGCGAGAAGCCGTTCCTGTGCTCTGTGTGCGGGAAGACATTTGCACACTCATCACATCTTCAGAGTCATTGGAGAACACACACTGGTGAGAAGCCATTCCGGTGCCATGTGTGTGGGACGACATTTGCACAATCGTCAACTCTTCAAGACCATCAGAAAACACACACAGGCGAGAAGCCATTCCTGTGCCCTGTGTGTGGGAAGGCATTTGCACAGTCATCAACTCTTCAAACTCATCAAAGAACACACACGGGCGAGAAGCCATTCCTGTGCCCTGTGTGTGGGAAGACATTTTCCAAGTCATCAAATCTTCATAGTCATCAGAGAACACACACGGGCGAGAAGCCATTCCTGTGCCCTGTGTGTGGGAAGACATTTGCAGACTCATCAACCAGGAACAGGCATCAGAAGGTCCACAATGATAGGAAACTGAAATCAAAAGCTGAAATTCAAGGTGCTGCAATGAGTTCTAAAGAAGTTTCCACCTTCGATCCCATGCAGTTGGATCCCGAGAGATGGCTGAATGTAATGGAGTGGCTCGGGGATCAAACCGAGAGCTCGGGATGACTGAAAAAATATTACGTCATGTGGCTATACCTATTAAGCCGTATCGAGTACTTTTGTGTGTAATTTTGACCATTTTAGTTTTATTGTTTTTGTGAGAGTTTCGTGACGTGCACAGTGGTGGTTTGTAATGTTATCGGATTACTTGCCGAAGTGGTGTGATGAGCACTGGTTGTGAGAGGGTTCAATTGTAGTCGTTAAGTGTTCCTGTTGAGCTAAAGTTGGAATGCGTCTGTAGGTACATCTTTACTCAACATTTTAAACGTACATAGCTTTTTTATTGGTATTAATCGATTTTACATAGCCGATTTCAGGATGTACATTGATGACGCGTTCGTTGGATATATGGCCTTGACTTCAACATAGACGCACAGTGAACAAATGTGGTGAACTAATAAGGACATCATGGGGAATGAAACTTTAACGCTTTGGTATTCCTGGAACGGAAATGGTTTGCATTCTACTGGAAATGTGTGAACATAGGAACGTAATAAATATTCCCTTTGAGTTTTGACGTAAAATGATTGCAGATGAATAAAAACGTATTTTAACAAATGTTTGTCCGTTCTTTATTTTATAATGTTCCTAGCAATAACATGTTAAGCGAGTTTCAGGTGGAGAATCTCCGTCACACAAGTGTGCCCTTACCCGGCAGCATCTTGGCTGTCTACCCGATTAACACGTGTTCCTTGAGGGGAAAGGTCCCCGTAGTTAATCTTTCATCAACGTACCAGTCCCTAATTCCGAAGTATGTCGGGGATAAACTGTACTCTATAACATTTAAACTGTAATACTATAAAAGATAACACTAAACATTAAACGATTGTAAACTAATGTTCTAATTTATAACCATATAAACGGAGGTAAGGTATTATACTATCATTAGAATCACAGTGTGGTCGTATAAGAATCACGCACAAACCCATTATGAACTCATGAGATTATGAATCGTTACAATTATTATAACAATCACAATTTGTGACAAAGCGAATTTCCCACAAGCAAAACACCACGCTCACGTGACGAATTCTTAAACAAACTGCAACACTCAAGTGACAGAACTCAACAAAAAAACGCCGCAATAAAAAGAACAACATCAATGGACAAATCCTAAAAACAGACAACACACGCACGTTTGTAGCTGTTAGAAGAAAACAACACCTAGCACCTTCAACTATACACATCATACAGCCAACTCGTAAATGGGGCGGCATCTGACAGCCTTCGCTGCTGTCGACGGGGCCAAGCAGCGAGTGTTTAACTCCATTGTTTCAGAATCCGTGTCATCACCCGGCCACAGCGCCTTAGCCAAACTACATCTCCACAACAAGGCAGCCTTCCCTATGCTGTGTATTTTAGCAGTATATTTACTGACGCACTTGAAGATAACAATTAGTCTAGAAATGGCAGCCGACTTGTTCTACCAACATGATTTCAATTTATATCCGAAAGAAGTATGAGTTCATTCATGAGTAGTATTCACTAAGCCCCGATAGCACTAACCTACACACAGTTATGATTAAACAAAGTAAACAGTCGCTCATCCCAGCTCAGACATGATCATAGCAATTATTTCCAAATCCTTGTCGGGTCCCACGAGAACAGGGGGCCTCGCTCGCGTGGCGACAGCGATCGCCTCACTCCTCCGCCGCGTGCTGCTTTGTGGTGGCAGGTCCACCGCCCAGTAGGGGTGGTGGCGGTGGTCGTGCCTCGGTGCCAACCGTGACCACTATCACCACACTACCCACTCACCCCGTGATACTCGCTACACACACCACACGGTTCCCCAGAGAGACGGTGCCACTGGGACCACAACTGGGGAATGAAGCTGAGCAGCAGATGCCAGGACTACAGCGGAGAATGACTGCTGCCGGCGCAGCCAATGACATCGCCTGTTGCAATCCTTGCTCTGTGGGCGCGCGAGTCAGTGGGGAGGGGGGTGTGGACGTCATCGCTCACCCCCCATGCACAAATCATTTTCTTTTTAACTCCTCTATACCCGGTCGATATCCCTGTACCGGTATTAGTATTATTCCTACCAGCTCACCCCGCAGGGTCCTGTTTTCAAATACGTATTTAAAAATATGTTTTCAATGTTTAAAAAATTTAGAATGTCGTTGTCCATGTGGGGAGCGCAGTGGATCGTTTCGTCTAAGCTGCTTTTCGGAATCCGCGTGATAACCCAGTCACATCGCCTAACTCCAGTCAAAGCACCTTACCCAAACTACATCTCCCCAACAATGCAGCCTTCCCGCTGCTGTGCATTGTGTTTATGGGATAACAGAGGTGTGTATTATCCCATACGCCTTGACCAAAACGACTGATTATCCGCTTAACACCATAGCCCGTAAAACACTATTGGAGACAGTGTTGTTTG